TCTCTCTCTCTCTCTCTCTCTTGCTTCCTTGCATATTATGTATTATAGCCTTTTATCTACATGTACCTCTTTCAGTCGTTAGTACTGCCAGTTCTTCAACTGTGTGCAAATAATAGCCTGAACCGTGCCTTACCTGTTCCAGTTGGCAGAAACCTCGTACTCAGACTTGTAGGAGTCATGGAAAGCGCTGGCGGAGTAGTCCATGGGCCACGGTTTGCGGAGGGTGACGGAGGCGGCTTTCTTGCTCACGGTTGTCATGTCAAAGTCCATGTCCAAGAGCTGAAAGTCGGGAGCATCGTTCAAGCTTATTGATGATAGTGACAATCTTTATTTATCTTACAAGAAAAAAGTGTCCCAGTCGTTTACAATAGCAGTGGTGTTACAAAGATTATGTGCACTCTGGCATACACACAAGATTCTGAAAATCTCTTCAAGTTAATGGCTTGGCTGGATATAAGAACACCGACACAAAGGTAACTCATTATGAGTAGTAGAACTTGTCAAGGTTTTGGTAGAAGCGATTGTAGGTCTTACAGAACTTTCGATCAATGACTCTCGTCGTTGCGCAGTAACCCATTTTAAAAAAATCTTAATTAAAAAAGTATCTCTACCCTTCAAGACAGGCGCTGTTGCAGTGTCGATGGTTTTCACGGTGTACATCGGATGCCCTTTTCTAAACAGCTCTAAGTTTTAAAAACATAATTTTTTTAATATCATATTATTTTACAAAGAGAAGAATTCCATGTAATGGCATTATTACTAAATCTCCGAAAAAGCAGTGTTAGAGAATCATATGAATAATTATTATTAATCATTAAGCCAGCTGCATGAACTGTATGCTTTCTAGGAAGCCAAATGTTTCTTCTTGTTATGTATTGCTGTGGCATGCCTCTCTCGTCGTCAATTTGGGGGCATAAGGAGTTATAGGTGTCATCTTAAAGCCTGTTTCTTTTTGCTTTTGATATTTAAAAAAACATCTATAAGAAATGAAAGTAGAAATATTTTGTGATTGAAGGAGATGGAAGTCGCCTGGTAACAGAGACAAAATTAGCGAAAAAAATGGCCACAAAAAATGGTGACTTCCACAGCTTAAGTGTTCTTGGAGAATGCACATTTGCATTTTTGCATTTTATCAATGTTTTCCACACAAAAAACCCACACAGGGATCTGTTTTTAAATGGACGTAAAAGGTGTAAGGTAAAAAAAAGTATGTGAAAATTATCCAACGGACGGAACGATTACGGTTTCATCGAATGCGATATTTGACGAGGAGCTGATTACACCACGATGCATCACATGTATTGTTTATTATTATGATTTAATACCTCGTGTCCATTGGCTTGAACGTACAGCTTGCCATCCTCTGTGCCTTCACCCAGCGTATGCTTCAAATTATAGACAAGGGTCTTCAGTTCAGGCAGAGGCAGCTTGAAATCCATGGAGAATTCACGAGTTTCCTTTGAGCTCCATGGGTCAGTGGTCAGCAGAAACCTGCCCTCACCGTGCACCTAGTAGAGGTTTTGTTATATCTTTAGTTTTAGTGCGAGTTTTACGGCACTTTAAACACAAATACGTCGTATAATAGTCGAAGATTAGGGTTGATATTTGTGGGTAATGTATAAAGAAAAGAAGGAAGAGAGATAATGACGACAAGTGTTTGATGATATGAAAGAAAGGGCAAACCACAACAGAGATATCGCTAGGGCCAACCTGGACTGAGAGTGAGACAACTTCCAAATGGAAAGATCTAGATACTGGATAAAAACTCTGCCCTACACGGGAATCGGAACTCGGGTCTCCTGTATGAGTCGGCAAAGCGCCATAATACGGGGTGCCCACTACGGATGGGATCGGCCGATCGCCCGACTCGATCGCCTCAAAAACAAACGTGTTTGTTTTCAGTTTCAGGCGATCGAGTCGGGCGATCGGCCCGATCCAGCCGCAGTGGGCACCCCGTATAACGCTACACCACAGAGGTGGGTATTCCACAACCCAGGTCGGTTTGAGAGATTGTCAGGATTGTATCATGTCAGTGGGAATGTGTTCCCTGGGGCGTTAATGAACTATGTTAATTACGTTTGCAAAGACATTCAAAAATGATTCATTGAAAACAAAATTATAGACAAAATACAGGTTGAGTGAGGGAGGGTGTGAGTATGTATGTGAGAGGGGGGTTAGTACGAATACCAAGAGAGAGAGAGAGAGAGAGAAAGAGAGAGAGAGAGAGGGAGAGAGAGAGAGAGAGAGAGAGAGAGAGAGAGAGGCGGAGAGAGAGAGAGAGAGAGAGAGAGAGAGAGAGAGAGAGAGAGAGAGAGAGAGAGAGGGGGGGGGGTTCGTTCTGAATGTCTGTGCACTTGCATGTTTTTAATTTTTCACTTTAGACTTAATGTAGTAAAACTATAATAAAACCGTGAACACTCGGCCCTGAACTTTAAAAAATACACAACCCTAATTTATTTCTCCAGTTCGTAAACGACCGGAATTTCTCTAGTTTATAGTCTGTTCGGCCACATTTACATTTTTTAAAACACGTTTATTTGACTTCTCGGGCCTCATCTTTCGTTATTTTAAATTGAACATACCCTTGAAACTCACCTTTTCCCCTCCGTATCCAAGCTCAAGGGTGGTCATTTTTCCGTTGACTGCATCATTGACGTTGTTCAGGCTGAACGACAATGGCTCAAACAAGTCTCGGCCAGCACTGAGTTCGGCAGAGGCGCTCATACTGAGAGGGTTGTCGTACTTTAGGGCAGCACTGGCCTCGATTTTCCTGTCGTTGCTGTGCACAGTCAAGTCAGCAGAGCCATCGAGAATATCACCTTTCACGTTGATCACCGCTTCTTTCAAGAAAGGGAACGTGGTGGTGATCTTGCACATTGGGTGGTAGGGATATTTGGAGGAGTCAAGGACACTTGTGAGAGAGAATTCCTCCTTGTTTATGATCAGATGAACGTCATAGTTGCGTTTACCAGCATCTACTGAGATGCTTACGTCTTGAACGGGAGTCTTCAAAGTGAGAAGCATTTTTGGGGATGGATGTGAGACTGTGACCAGGTTAAGGCTCATTTTCTTGTCGCTGTACTGCAAGTTGGTGCTGCAGCTCAGTCTCTCGTTTGGCGTTCCCTCGTGCCTGTATTCATATTTTGTGAATTCGTATCCCTTAAAAGGTGTGTATAACTCGAATTCCGCCTGCACGCGTTGCATTTGATATCTGTAAAAGTCTACTTTTCCAGAGATTTCTTCGTGTTTGTTCAAGGTCGCTTTGACAGTGGTCAAGAACTTTTCCAGATCACCAGAGTGATCGAACTCAAAACCGATAACATCCCCAGGATATCGAAGACCTGTCATTTTGGCGAGAGCTGCGAATTTTCCTGTCGTTGCTAGCTGAATGACAGCACCGTATGTTTTAGAGTCAGCATTTTCAGTGATATCGATCTTGAAGTCGTCCAGGGTGCCTTCTTTGTGAATGGTGACTTTACGGAAGAAGTCTCCATTGTTAGTCTTGAAGTCGGTACTGCTGGTCAAATCCAGGATAAGGTCATCCATCTTGAAGACCACTTCATGGTCCAGGACGTTTCCATTGCCACTCTCTAATCTTAAATTGGTTTTAAAGTCTTGCAAGTCACCAGTATGATCCATCTTGGCTCCCAATGTTGGCATCCAGAGACCCTTAAATTCAAGATTACCATGAACCTCTCCTTCACTCCTGCTCGTTTGTGCTAGGGCACTGATAAGCTCGTCAGAATCTTTCTTGACAACAAATTTTCCTTTCATGTTATTGATAGACCCTTTCTCGGAGTAAATAATTTCGACATTTCTTAAGTTCTCAAAGTTGGACTCTAGGGTGGCTTTTCCAGAGATTTCGTCCCCAGTGGTATGCTGTTTTGCAGTAATTTTGATTGATTTCAAGAGGTCAGATGGGGAATTCAGGCTAAATTCAAAGTCAACATTATTCAAGTCAGTAAATGTTGCCGAGGCACTGGTTTCGGCTTCCTTGTTCCCGTAGACACCCTTGAATCTGCCCTCAAAACTGTTTGTGCGATAGTTGCTCTTATCTTGAATGTTGAAGTCAAGTTTCAAGTCCTTTGTGTATGGAGTAAAGACGATAATGGTTTGTTTCAAAAGGGTGGGGTTCACCTTGTTGGTGAAAGCCGTCCTAAAAACATCAGAGCCAAGGTTTAGGGACGCATCACCTTTCAAGTCGTTGAGTTTACCCCTAAGTTTGAGGGAGCTCTCAATTTTCTCAAGACCGCGGAGCGGGGTATTCAGCTTGAATGTTCCTGTAGTCACATAGCCAGTGTTGGCGAAAGTAAGGTCCCCAACTGTATTGTCCTGGCCAATGCGTGCCTCTGCGTGACTAGTAAGATCAGAGAGATCAAAGTTGGTGCGGAAAACAAAGGCGTTGCTCTCAAAGTCTTCAAATGGAGTATTCAAGGTCCAGGAAACATCAATGTCTCTGTTCAAGTTGAGCTTCATCTCAGATGCAATTTCTTTCCTTGGCAGGTACGTCACTCTCACCTTCGATTGGCAGCTGCGATAACCTGGGTTGTAGAAGACCATGGCTCCAACGTCAGTATACTCGGGGTTTGGAGTTTTCACAGTCACATCAAACTGATATGGGGCTTGAGTCCTGTATGAAGTGTCGATACTGTACACTCCAACTGATGCTTGCTCCAGCTCTATATGAGAGGATCGGCTGCCATCGTTGTTTCTCTCGCTCCTTCCCGAAAGCTCCAGATATCTCATCGACCTGTGAGGTGTGTTCACCCGGATTTTGCCATTAAGGTCACCCTGGTTGAAGTTATATTTGACAATGGTGTCATATTTCTTCACCAATGGTCTCATTTCAAAATCAGCTTTTCCTGATATGCCAGTCGGTTTTAGATCCACCTGGAAACCTGTGTCGAGCTTCCTCATTTGAGCAAATGGCGTGACAAGTTTTGTACTGACCATTTTGACAGATTGGTCATTGCGCAGCCTGGTCTCAAAATCGATCATCTTCCTCACACCGTAAGCAACATTACCGCGAGAAACGTATTCGCCATTCTTCAGCTGGTGAGAGCCCTTGACGTCGATGTTCTCGAAATGTGTGAAGGGGGTGGTCAGTTTGGCATCGACTTGCATATCATCCACAGATGGGGCATTTACTGATCCATCAAAATCAATGCGCTGATATGGGGACCACACCAACCAAGCGGATGCTGTTGCTGGATACCTCTCGTAGATGATGGTTCCGTGCCCATTGATTTCTTCCTTGTACGATGGAGAAAGAATCTTGATGCTGGCCTTGTGTCCTCCAGTCACTTCTTCCACCAGAACGTCATAGTGGGATTCTCTTTGTTTGTTGATAAACGTTGAAGATGAACTGTGCAGTTTACTTCTAGTGTGCTCGTGGTTCATCGTTATGACTAGGTCGCGATAATTCCTCCATGGGCTCCTGACGGTGAGCTTGCCATTGGCAGTCCTGCCATACCAGCTGACTTTGTTGGAACCAGTCAGGTCAACCGCAAGATGTTTGTTTCCATCCCATTTGGCGTCAAGAGTGGATTTCACGCTGTTTAGGCCAGTGCTCTTGTGGTTCCAATTTGCTTCCAGTGAATTCTGTGGCCAGTTGACAACCATTTTGGTATTGTGATCCAGCTTGGATCCATAGCTGTTCTGGTCCACCCAAAGAAGAGCGTCATATTGCATGCCATTGTGTACCAATAAGCCAGAGCTTGCTGTCCTTGATGAGTCTGCCTTGTGGTTCAAAGTGACATTAAGATTCCGTACAGATTTGAACGATGTCTTAAGACCCAGGCTGCCAGCGAGCTCAACGTTACCCCACTTTCCGGAGTTCTGTCCCTGTAGCATAAGTTCAGCATCTTCGTTTTCCATTTTGCCCTTTACTAATGTCATCAAACCAGAATTAATCGTGTGGTCAATTTCGAGTCCAATTTCTCTGTAGCTTCTGAAAGGAGTCTGGGTGTCAAAAGTAACTTGAACATTGGCGAGAGTTAGTGGTTTCTTAACCAGCAGGTCAGATGATATTTTCTTGCGGCCCCATGACATTTTACCATTCACGTTGTATCGTTCTGGGTCAATAGTGACTTTCATGTTGGAGCCCAAATTCTCAAAATTTTGAAAGGGGGTCTGCAAGTTCACGTCTCCGTTGATCAGAGTCATCTCGTAATCCTCGGAGTGTCTGAAAGAACCATCCAGAACGACTGTGCTTTGCTTGCTAGCTTTCTTGGTTGCATCCCAGTTTACGGAAACTTTACCACTGTATTTGTCTTTAGCCTTCATACCATCAGCAGACATTTCAATATTTCGCTCGGGGGTCTGCACATCGATATTCCACCTTCCGGCTTTCTTGGCGAGTTTAAATCGCGAGGTAATGCTGTACACATCTTTGTCGTGGATCAACGTTCCAGAGGCTTGCATGTTTTTACTATCGAGAGACACTTTGCCATCGAGCTGAATAGGCTTTGCATCTGCAAGGTCAATATTGCTGGTAACCTCATGCCTTTGGTCTTTGGGTGTCCTGTATACTGTGACGATAGAATGCTTTTTATCATCAGCGGTTTTCAAGTTGAGCGAGTGGATGAACTGCTTGGATGACTTCTGGGTCAAAGTGGAGTCTACGTTGTATTTCTTGCCAAAAATGTCAACCCTGCCAGAGCCCACGTAGTTCAAAAGCTTCCTGCTTCTGTCCTTCACACTGACGTGGACATCGACGTCCTTCTTCATCAGAGGTTCCATCTTCAAGGTCAAATCTGTGTCCAAACTTCTGGAGGAGTGAGAGTGGGTGGCTTTCAGCGCCATGTTTATATCCTGTAACAATAGGAAATGAAAAAAAGACAAATGTCTCATGGTGTGACGTGCTGAATACATGTGAATGTGACATTTCAAATCCTAGAAAAATGGTTAGTTCAGAGATAGATGTTGCTTAGAGCATATTTTAACCAGAAATAAGACGTGCAAGGAGAGAGATTTTTTAAAAACCCGATACAAAAAGGTAACACAAAAATGCCAAAAAGGCTGAGCCTCAGGCTCATCCAAGAAAGAGGCATTTACATTGTGATAACTGTGCACACGGTTGTCAGGGTGTGAGTGTGTATGAATGTGTGCACGTGTGTGTGTGTGTGTGTGTGTGTGTGTGTGTGTGTGTGTGTGTGTGTGTGCAAGTGTTTTGGATGTGCAAGTGTTTTGGATTTGTAACATCCGACAGTGCTTGTATTAGCACGCTTACATGCACACTACTTATGTAATACCGAGCTCAATAAGTATCCAATTATCCGCAGGTTACCTTCTCGGGGGCTTTGGCGCCGAGTCGGACCGTGACGTCAGCTTTAGAAAGATCCTTGACCTTGCTGTCGAAAAAGCCAAAGAGGGTGACCACCTTTGTCTTAGACCTGGGGTCTGGGCCGTAGGTGAGCTTGAGATCCCCCTCGCTGTGCTTGTTTTTGTGGTCGATGTCAAAGGTGAGTCCCAGATTGTAGTCAGGGTACTCCCTGTTGCTGAAGTCACTGGGAAAACAGAAAACAACAAGTTTGATTGGTTGTTCGTTTGATTGGTTGTTGGTTTGTTTGTTTGTTTGTTTGTTTGTTTGTTTGTTTGTTTGTTTGTTTGTTTGTTTGTTGCTTTTTTGTTTGGTCGGGGGTTTTTGGTTTGTTTGTTTTGCTTGTTTGTTCATTTCTTTATTTGTTTGTTTGTTTTTGAGTTTTTTCTTTATTGTAGGTGTTATTATGCTCCCATCAACAAGATCAGTTTGGATTATTATTTAAAAGCCAAGGCCAACAAGGGCTGAAAAGGAAACAGTATTTCTAGAGAGAACCGAGATACTCGAAATAAAAACTCTCCCCATACATGAATTGAACTCGGATCGTGATTTCTGTAGGTGCCGGCAAGACGTCTAACAGCTACACCCCAGGCGCCGGTTGAGAACATGAACACATGCACTGGTTTGTACACGTGATAGAGGCTTCAGTCGTTTCAAGTCTCTCAAAGAGTACGAGTAGAAGAAAAATAAAGAATGTATTAAGTTTTTAAAGATACAAAGTAACTCACACTTATAGAAAAAAAATAAAACATGGTTAGAATTTGAATATATCCAGTAAGTTTTCGATTTTGTTATTCGTGGTTAAGTTCTGTCACGTTGTTGAAATTAACATTTACAAATAATGCTACCACTTCACAGAGTAAAGATACTTTCTCATGAGGGAGTGGGTTTAGTTGAGGGGGGTTTTTTTTGTTTTGTTTTTTTTGGTTGTTTTAGGACTGTTGTTGTTTTTTGTATGTACTTTTCTATGTAGAGTACCTAGGTATCTTACCTCTTCAGAGTGAACTTTTTGTACATGTTCTTGCTTCTGTCTGTGAGTTTGGCGCTCCACGTGAGAGAGTTCTTGGAAACGGAGGGGACATTGTAGTTGACCTTCACATTGGTGGCCATGACATTGTTCTTCTTGGTGGTGGTGGAGTCAACACTTGCGCTGATCAAAGCAGACTTGAGTGTCATGTCTATGTCGTACTTGGGCTGTTTGTTCTTCATGTATTGCCTTCTCTTGACTGGATGGGGAAATAAGTAATTGCAGAGGTTTTTAAGGTAGCTTAGATTATGTATGAGGCAGGCTTCGACCCCGCCAGTTCGGGCTGTGATGGATACAACATCCCAGCAGACAGACAGAGATACTCGCGAAAAAATTCTCCCCATTTGGGAATCATACTCACGACTTCTGTGTGCTACAGCGTAGTGCCTAACCGCTACAGCTATAACGCAGGCTGTCCGGATGAATGTTTCGAAAACATTTTTTTTAGTAAAGAGAGCAAAGTGGGTTGCTTTCTTTTTCTTTGAATTATGAATTTTTTACAAGCCATGGGTTTACATATATTTTAGATTTTGCACACAACGTCAGTACTGTCTTATGTAACAGAAAAAACACAAAAGAACAAAAGACGAAACAACGATAGCAACAACAGCAGTGACAATATTTGCAAGATCAAATAGGATGATGGACGATAATAAAAATGAAAGTGTCTATTCAAGGTAATACCAAAATTCAGATCCGAGCGTAGTATTTACTTTCAGATTCTCTTGACTCGTAGAGTGTAAATTTTAATACATGTATTCTCAAAACAAACAACGTATTTAACTCACTGGAGAAAGAGGCGGGCTTCATCCTGTGCAAGTTAATTGTAAGATCAGCCTTGCAAAACTTCTCAGCCCTGTAGTTGCCTGAACCCGTGACGGAGATCAGAGTTTTGGTTGGGGTTTTCACCTCAAACTCGGGGGTCACATCCAAGCTCTTGCCCTTTCCGGACCAGTTGACGATTGAACCAACGTTGATGAGGTACTCCCCCCTCTTGTCAGTAGCAACGCTCAGGCGAGCTCGCTTCTCTTTCTCAAGGTTTACAAGACGACCTGGGTGTAGGAAAGAGTGGAAGGTTTATTTATATTTAACTTCAGCTGGGGTTCTGTTAATACTGTTAAAGAATGTGGTGTGTGTGTGTTGAAAATAAAAATAGTACCTGGTGGTTATTCAAGAGTATCCAGCTGTTCTCTAAAGATCAACTTAGTTTGCATCTATTTTCTAAATAAAATCGAGAAGGGGTCTCAGTACAAGAAGACAGCATCTTGTATTGATTGAGCAGCGTTTACAGAAGCCAGTCACTAATAATATTATGTCTGAATTTCACGACACGGCAGCATCAGACACAATTTTGAAAAGTCACCTAGATCTTTGTGTGGTGAGTTTTTCAAGATAAGCAGCAGGGAATGGTCATTTTCAAGTTGAACCCTACGCAGTAAAACGTTAAAAAGAAAAACAACTCTATTTCATTTCCATTTCCCTTAAACATTGAGATTGAGGACGTTTTTAGGATGGCGTAATGTGATGGATGACTTTAAGTGACTGGATTTTTTTTCAAGTGATGGTTAGACTTTATTGTTTGAGTCTGAGCCCGCCTCACCACGACAGGAAGCAGGAAGATTATGTGATCGATTGTACCCCCACCTACCTGACACCCACACAATAACTGAAAGCCAGAGCTTGCCAACCTGGACGATATCACCCACTGGTGGACGAGTTGGTAATTTTGGTAGGTGATCACTATCGTCCTTATCTCCCTTTCTTCTTTTTTTATGTTTGTTACTCTTTTGTAACACCTCTAATCTTCTAGCGCTCATATGACCTTATGCAGTTACGAGCGTCGTAAAACCTCTACTAAAAAAAACCCACGAAAGTAGTATCTAATGTCCGGCTTGGAGTTGCATGTATGTAGGTGGGCGGAACGAGAATGTTAGCTTCTTAAAGGTGGCAAAAGTGGACTCTGTTTACAAAAAAAAAAAGCTTCTCACGCACTGCTTTAATCTGTACTCACCTTTGACTTCAATGGGTTTGTCAGCCAGTTTGATCTCAAGGTTGGCTTCAGCTGTTTTCCACAAAGTCATGTCCACTTGTCCGGAGAGCAGGGTGTGAGTCACGTCTCGCTTGGTGATCTCCACGAAAGGAGTGTACACGACTTGGTTTCTCGACCTGGAGATCTTCATCTCGGATGTGATCCCATACTTGTCCTTGTCGTCAAGGAGAGCGGAGCCCACTACACTCAACAGCCCACGGTTGGACACGACAGCAGCTAGGAATAATAATAATAATAATAATAATAATAATAATAATAATAATAATAATAATAATAATAATTGCATTTATATAGCGCATATCCATGCTCAAGAGCATGCTCTATGCGCTTCACAACTATTATTACCCCAGCCGACCCACTGAGAACACTCAGAAACTTTCTCGGCTTCCGCGGAAGCATACAGTGCACGCTGCGGATTTCACGCGCTCAAACACTATCAAACTGACAAGATCGTTCACTGTCTATAGCCGGGTACCCATTTCCACCAGGGTGAAGTGAGGAAAATTTGTGCAAAGGGCCTTTCCCAAGGACACAACGTCGGGCCCCTAACGGAATTCGAACCCACGACCTTACGGTTGCGAGCCTGAGAGCCTAACTATTAGGCCACCGACGCCACCGAATACACAATGTTCGTCCTCTGTATAAATCAAGCTTTGAATTACATTATACATATTACAATAACAAAGACCAGACCAATTCTTATTCATCTCACAGGGCGAAATTTGTCTTGGTCGGTTACAATGATTTTACAAAGGGTGTGTGCACTCACGCATACACACAGCAAGGAAGGACATAAATACATATTATGCTAAAACATCTCCGCTCCGTAAACATTCTCTCTCTCTCTCTCTCTCTCTCTCTCTCTCTCTCTCTCTCTCTCTCTCTTTTACGCAAAGATTAACCTCATAACGAAAGTATTCTATCTCAATACAGATAAAAAGCATTTTTTTCATGATATTATCTATTACTTTTACTCTAAACTCAGATAGAAATCAAATCAGCGAATCTTTCATCTGTTCTTGGTCAAGTGACCAAACCTCATTAAAATAAAACTATAAGGGAAGTCACATAACAGAGATTCCTTCCCTTCAGGAAACAAAATTGATTAAAAGAATATTTTCCTAACTACCAATCTGGTCTTCCCCAAAGTGAAGAAACACATTCATTATAACTACAAACTACATTCATTGAGTATAACTTACTATTGAAATCGACTTTCTTCCATGGAGAAATGACAACGATGTCGACACTCCTGTTGGGGTCGTAGGAAACGGTGAGGTCAGTGGAGATCAGTCTGTTCACTCGGGAACCTGGTGTGTTCAGCTGGAACTGCATGACCAGACCCTTCTTGTTCTGGAAAGTCAATGTTTTAGATTTTATGTCGGTCATTGTGTGGGGAAGTCAATGTTTCAGATATTGCATGGGGAAATCAATGTGGAATTAGGCCAATGTTTTAGATATTGTATGGTGAAGTCAATGTTTTAGATATTGTATGGGGGAGTCAATGTTTTTTTAGATATTGTGTGGGGAAGTCAATGTTTTAGATATTGTATGGTGAAGTCAATGTTTTAGCTATTGTGTGGGGAAGTCAACGTTTTAGATATTGTCGGGGGAAGTCAATGTTTTAGATATTGTGTGGGGAAGTCAATGTTTTAGATATTGTGTGGGGAAGTCAATGTTTTAGATATTGTGTGGGGAAGTGAACTTTTCAGATATTGTGTTTGGAAGTCAATATTTTAGATATGGCATGGGGAAGTCAATGTGGAGATATTGTATGGGGAAATCAAGGTGGAATTAGGCCAATGTTTTAGATATTGTATGGTGAAGTCAATGTTTTAGATATTGTATAGGGGAGTCAATGTTTTAGATATTGTGTGGGGAAGTCAATGTTTTAGCTATTGTGTGGGGAAGTCAATGTTTTAGATATTGTGGAAAGTAGAGGATGTTTTAGAGGCTTATGTTTTAGACATTGAGGCAGGAGGTTGATGTTTTAGACATTGTGGAAGGGGGGATGTTTTAGACATTGTGGAAAGGGGTTGATATTTTAGACATTGTGAAAGAAGGCTGATATGAGAGGAGGCTGGCATTTTAGACATTGTAAAAGGGGGCTAATGTTTTAAACATTGTGGAAGGATGAAGGAGGTGGATGTTTAAGACATTTTAAAAAGAGGTCGATGTTTTGGGTACTGGTGTGCGGTGACACACTTACAAGAGGTACTAAGTTCTCCCTTGTCATTCTCTCACCTCTGCTTTCTTGGCGTACAGCTTGTATGTCTTGTGGCTGTCCTTTCTGTTCATCACGACACTGAAACTACCAGGGCCAGCCAGGGGGAAGTACGGAGCATCATCATGTTGAGAAGCGTTGGCGTATTTGAGCTCACCACACACTTCCGTGCCCAAGACTTTAGCCACAATGGCACCTTTAAGATTTTGAGATTAGAAATGAAACGTGTTGAATTTCTGAGCTAAAGTTCTTATAACAAAACTGCTTTGCTCACTCCAACACTACACGTTGTCTGTTAAATAAAAACAAATTCCATCTCCATTTTTTTTCTTATTTTTTGGTGGGGAGGGGGGTTCTGTTCCTGTTTGTGTGCGTGTGTGTGTGTGTGTGTGTGTGTGTGTGTGTGTGTGTGTGTGTGTGTGTG